AGAGAGAGAGAGAGAGAGAGAGAGAGAGAGACGGGTGGAGAAAAGTGAAAATGTAATTTTTCGTTTCAATACACGGCATACACTGATTTGAGCGGACATTACTGTTAACACATACACACAAAACCCAATCCCTGTCCACCCATACCATACCCATCAGAGCCACTGTAGGCTCTCTATGTGTGTAATCATAGTAACCATAATAATAATAACGCCAAACATATCTAATCTTATATAATAGTGAAAGAAATGTCAAATAGTATAGCATTTGATGCCTTATTTCATGCGATGAGAAAATGAAAAACTTTTTAGACCATAAAAAATCACTACATTTTTCAATTCAAATGCAATCACAAAATAGGGATTTATATTTTGCGTCCGATTTCTAATACAGTATTGATATTTAATACGAAATTAGTATACAATGAGAACCTCTTTATAATACATGCACAGTACGTTTAATTGATAATGAACGTGGTAAAAATTATTGAAATAATATGAATGATTATTTGCTACCATTAAGCTACAATGAAAATGGTAATTTAATTTTTCTACTTAAATTTAAGTTTACCCCACATGTGTCTGATATACCGAGAGTGTACTGTATGTAGACTTCAGGAAAAACTAATGTAAAATTTAAAGCAAATTTGTCGTAAAATTTGATTCAAAATATTTTGTTGTTGTTGTGATTGAGTACAAAATTTATTATGAATTCCGGGCAATATATAAATATATTCACTATATATTCACTTATATACTAAATATTTAACAGAGTATTCATGTATTTTTATCCTAAAGTTTCATTTTATAGAATATTCTTATATTTATTGCTTAAAATATTCTGTAAATCGAGAAATATATTTATAAATATTTTTACTTTTACTTTTTACATGTGATTTGTAATATCAAATATAAATAGGATTTAAATAAATAAAAGTAAATTTTGAAATCGTTTCTATCGTAACCATGTATTTATCCCAAAATGTTAAATATATTTTTGTTTGTTTTTATTGTGATTTATTCAAAATGTTAAAATGTTTGCATTAAATTGCAAACATAAATTATTAAAACGTGATCGAAAATATATTAATATTGGTCGTAAATAAATAATTTGTACAAATATTAATAATTTATTACATTAACAACAAAACTAATGCAAACATTTTAAAATCACATTAATTAAAAATGTTAATTTATTTTATGAATAATAATACAATAATTAACATAATTAATATGAAGATATATGTAATCCAAACATAACATAAATATTGTACATATTGACCAGTGCACTTTAAATTTAATAAAACGTGTCAACCATGGTATACGCCGACCGGTGGAGTGGGTGTCCAGACATATGGGGCACAAAACACAGCAAACAGTCGGTGAACCCGCGGCCGTCCCGAGCGCTACACTCTTTGATATACCAGTGTTTTTGACGCAAACGATTCATTCCTAGTATAAACTCAATCTCTTTGGCTCTCATAGCTAGATATTATATAAGAAAAGCATCATGATTACTTTTAATGTAGGACAATTAATAAACTACACTATGTAATTTATAAGACATTAATTATACCACACCCACCATTAGGCCGGTCCTGTTTGTTGACCAACACCAGTACCACCACGTCCTTCATCTCTCTATCACTACATATCGAGTGCAACACACGCTTGGCCTCAGACACCCGGTGCCGGTCGCCGGCGTCCACCACAAACACCAGACCGTAAGTTCCCGTGTAATGGTTGCGCCATAAGTCGCGCGACTTGCGACCGCCCGAGCAGTCCCATAGGGTAAACCCGTGGCCCTTATATTTGACGTGCCATACCGTGAAGTCACGCCCGGGTAGAGTCAGCACCGGTTCGTTGGTCCAGTAGCTGATCCGCTCGGCCACCGATGTCTTGCCGCTAGAGTCCAGGCCCAGCATTAGTAGCCGTTTCTCATTCCGGTAGTTGTTATGACATAGTTTTGATCCAATTGAGCCCATTATGGTTATAATTGTGGTATTACTTTTTACCAAGTATAACTATGGATGTTATAGTTATGTGATGTTTGCTTTACATAGATTTTGTTTGGTTAACAAAGTTATTTAAATTTTTGTAATTAATTACTAATTATATAATTGTCGTAATAAATGCCATTCATTCAGTAATTGAGATAATATTGTAATTTGTAATTTAAAACTAGATGGTAATTTTATCTCAATGGTAAGTGTAGTAAATTACTTAAATAATCATGGCCATTCTCTTTCCACCCACCAAATAAATGCAGTTATTTGTTATATTAATTTAAATCCATGTTTGAATCTAGGTTTTAATACAATGTCATGCATTTTCTGGTAATTATAAATAGTTTTCATTTAATTTGTAATTAATTTAACTTTTTATTCATTTGTATGATTTTGTCATTGAAATGATTTATTACTTTTATATCGTATTGTATTGTATTAATTGTATAATTGATTTATTTGTGTTATATTTAACAATAAAAATACTTTCAACACTAGTTTTTTGCCATCCATTGTAATAAATATCATAATGAAAAGCATCAATAATTACAAAACATTTTCATACGTGGTTTATAAGTATTCACAAATAAATAACTCGTAAAATAAATATATAAAAACTGTTTAAATGCTTGAATACGATAGCAAACAATGTTATATAAGTTTTAGCCATAGGTTTTACATTGAAAGGTGAAATGAAATAAAATAGTAAAATAACAAATAAAAGTTATTTTTATTATTTCACCATAGTCATTATAATGAATCGCGCCTTTCATCAGGTAATTAAGGCCAAGTTTATTTATTTCGTGAATAATATACTGTACAGTATTGGTGTGTGTTTTAGTGTATGGGCGCAAAAGTGCTCTCTCTCTCTCTCTCTCTCTCT